TAATCTCTAGTGCGCGCCTAGCCTCTGGGATCAACTTTCTGAAGAGCAACCTGAAATCACGTAGAAAACTATATGATGTTTGTATAGTACCCTGAGACATTAGCTGGAATTGCTAGAGTTGATGAGCCAAGGTTCTCCAGAGGGATCGAATCTAAAACTAGAGGCAGTTCCTTGGGAATTCTATGTGTAGCGCTTCGAACCAACTCGAAACTCAAAAATTCAAAGCGTGATGTTGTTTTATTTCCTAATGCCTGCCTTATGTAGCCTATGAATAAGTATTCAAATAAGTAAAATGTATTATAGCTGGACGTCCACATGAATGGTGAAATCGTTTGAAACGGAATCAGCTAACTCCAATGGAATAATAAATAATTTAATTGAGTGAAGTCACTGAAATTAATGACTGTGACTGTGTCAAGACTAGCAAGTTGCAGAAAGAGGATGCATTGTCCCGCCACAGTGATCTTCTACCAGAAATACAAAACTTCCTTTACGAGTCGGAAGTATTTGGCTGGTACTGAGTTCAGAATATTCCATGACAGGCTTTCCATTGATCTCGGCATGATCCAGGTGAACTTGTCTTGAGTTAATTTAGTCACCGAACTCAGGACGATTTTACTTGGATCATGCCGAGATTAATGAAAAGTCAGTCGCGAATATTTCGAACTCAGTACAAACCGAATACTTTCAACTCGTGAAGGAAGCTTTGTCTCTCTGGCAGAAGACCGCTGTGACGAGACTAACAAGATTGCCAAGTTATGAGGAAACCTCGACCTTCATTAGCAAAACAGGTTGAGCCTCTGCTTTCCGTGCCTGTACTCTTATCCCTTACACTACCCAAACTACAGTTGCTATCGCCTTATTAGTGGCTTTTATACGGCAACTTATCAGCATTCACACGCACCGGTCAACCAATTTTGGATTGAACAGCTGAACAGTAAACTGTTTTTGCTATAACTAGTTTTGGCTCTTGTTGTTGTGGTTGTTCCTCCGCACTATGCAATCCATAAGCCTTACAAATTTGACGAGAGAGACTTTCGGATCGCACACTGAGGGAAATAATAGCAGTTAATAAGAACATCAACTATTTTGAGTGTTCGAGGGCTTAAAGCATATATAAACCTCATCTCGCTGTTGTTCAGAAAACAAGGAAATCTTCAGCCAACATTCAGGAAGATTTCTAGCATTAGGCAAATTATTACTGATGTTCACAATGGCTTTCCCTATTTTCAGCACTGAAAATCATCTGATGAGGCAGGACTTGTGTGTTTATTGGCTGATGCTTCCAACTGTGGGCATGTTATTCTCTTCTGTACTGCTCCTCAATGTTGCTGTCGACCGAGTATTATCTACGCAGAAGTTTTAGTAAGGCGATTGTTTCCTGCAAAGTTATACTCCCCGTGAACGGAAGAAATTGTTTTTAGGGATATGAGATTGAATATTATTTCGTCTGAGTAAATAAAGAGCATCTTTCAGCAGCTCTCTAATCAGGAAGCGGTATGCTCTCTATATTTCCATCCATATTGTTATTGGATTAGTTTTTGCTCTGAGTATGGAGACATGGATATTTTTCAGTTGTACATCAGAGTTGTAAGTTTGAAGCGGAAACAGCTGAAAAATCAGTATATTAACTGGTAAATCTTTCACAAACATGGCGAAACCCTGAAATATGTGTTCGAATTATGGCGAGTCATGGACGAAACGCTTAGCTTCGTGTGGCATTCGAGTCCATACTTGTGCTGTAGGCGCTTCTTGTCTCTCAATGGCTGCCTTCAGACTTCGACAACTCTACCGACGTGCGGCGCGCACGCTGATAGAATCGACCGCCGCTTTTGTAGTGCGTGAGTGTCGACCCTAGTGCACAAAAACTAGTCATCCTCGACTTGTGGTATCGATCGGTATCCCCAGTGTTGTCACAGCGTTGGCTAGAGCTGCCGTCGCAACACGCTCGCTTGCTCACACGCGCGATTCTACCGGCGTGCCGGCGCGCACGCTGATAGAATCGTCGAGGCCTGAAAGCAGCCAATCCGCTAAAACGCTTCTCTACGCCAACTTATTTCACCAGTGATCCTTCATTCAGGGTAGAGGTGACACGTAACACGAAGAATCCTAGAAATACACATCAGATAAGATCACACAAGTCAAAAAAGCCTACCACTGCTTCATTATTTTCTCACTGGCGTCAGTTTTCTACAAAAGGATGAAATTTTGCATTAGGTGGCTACTTTATGTTATATCATAGTTTGAGCGCATGAAACATTCTTACATACATAATCCCTACCATAACGATCGCGTCTGTCTGTCACAAAATCGGTGTTATGCGAAGAAACACCCGGAGATCTCGGGTCAATTTCTAAATGCACCGGGCATAGGACAAGATCAACAGAACACGTGTAACCTAAGGGGAGCTCTACCAATAGAGGCCGGGACACGCAACGAAGTAGGCGACAGGAGTGCTACTCGGTAGTGAGGATCGAAAAAAGAGGTTAGAGGCTTCGGAAGGCGAGCAAGTCAAGCCTTCATAGGAGGGAGGGCTTGGTCAAGAAGTTGCCCAGTCAAAGTTATCCAACACGAAATCCAGCACCTGTAGAGGTAGAGTCTACTTTGTTGTGGATCGTATAGCATGCACCGAAAAGCATGGAACAAAACTAATACAGCTTCCAGACGCCATGAAAATGACTAGAAGTGGGCCAATGAAAGGAATGAGAACTGCGATGTGCGGAGGTCCTCACATTCAGTGGTCTCTGCTTGCTCTATCAATTCATAGCTTGATTCTACCACAGCCTGTAGGTCCAACCCTAGAGGGGTGTAGCTCATACTGAAAAATTCATGATTGTGTTCTATTCGTTTTTCGTTGTGATGCACGACTTAGCGGGAGTGGCCCGAATGGTGCACCTATCCGTCACGGTTCTGATCAGAAGTCAGAACAGGGAGACCCAATAAGCGTGTTGGTAAAAACGAAGATATTTACCGATTGATGTATGTTTTCGAGGAGAAATATGATTTTGCAGATATGTTGTATGTATGATAACGGCTCCATTTCGTGATATCATTCTGACCGTCTTTATCAACGTTATGGCTGCAGTTAATATTTTTATACTTGCCTGCTATTTAGTGCTAATATTTTTGTTAAGGAAAGCGCAATTGAGTGAGTTTTTAGATTGAGTTCTATGCAAGTTCAATTTACAACCTGTTCAAAAAGTAGTTTTGTTGAGTTCAGTGCTACAGAAAAGGTTAAAATTGTAGCTCTCTATATAAATCGATATGGCAGATCTTCAATTCTCTAGCTGTTTTTATAGTTTAGTTTAATCATCCACATGTTTAAGGTCACGAAAATTCTAAGCAAATCCATCGTTCGCTCTTGGTCATAAGCTTAACAACAGTATTTGGCTGGTTTGGCCCGATGATGTTTGCTGTGGTCGACATTGTATTCAGTCTAAATATTGGGAAATCGCAAAAATTGCATTCCGACCTTTTTTCTGGGCTTTTTATAAACTTTGCATGTGCAACAAATTTTTTCGTCTATTACTCTATCAGGTGGGCCATTCATATTCAATATTTCAGATTTGATTTTGTAAGCTACTTCTACAGCGTTTGGCTCATTTAAAAGTCCCGTTCACACTCATCACAAAAACGCAAGGAATTAGCTGGGCATAGCGTTCTGATTAAAAAAAGCTGTCCATAAAAGCCTTATGGGAATGAAGTTGTGATGTGTATAATAGCGATGGTTAATTACGTATTTCAGACGTCTTTGAACGACGATTCCCTCTTACTAGATTTTTGAGTTCACGGGATGACATAGTTACCCATACACGACAATTTTCAGTGCAATATATCGCCGTGCATTCGACGAATACCTCTTTATTGGATTCCTCAAAAAAGCGTTAGATTCTGAACGCTATTCTACGAGCCACGCATGGGCTTCAACTCGTCGAGTCTGAAGCATTCTAGCAGAGACCGTCTGCACTACCGTTACCTACATTTGACACTTTGGAGATTGTATTGGGGATCCGGAAAAATATTGGAGAAAGGCAGTCGTAAGTGAAATATAGTGTGAAGAAATTGTACACCATAGAAGCTCACTCAGCGACCTCTCCTGGTCCCCTTCTCGGTCCTCATTCTGTTATGATTGATATGTAAGTTGTGAAGTACATACATATGTATATGTATGTATTTCTGTCATACAGAAGCACCCGCTATGCTACATCATCAGTTGTACCACGCCATCTTATAATCTGATATAGAATACGAAGCGAATGCAGAAATGCTGCGCTTGGTACGGTTCCCTTTTTGGGTGGTGATGCATGTAAATAGATTGGTATGAGTGAATAAAAATTTCTAAGAACTCGCTGTCATTTGTTGTGATTTTGTGTTGTTGAGATGAGGAATTTCGCTGATTGTATGATGTTGCTACATACAGGGTGCGGCAAAAGTTTGGCAAAGGCCGTTTCACGTCCTCTATAAAAAAAATGAGGCCTTCGATCTCGACAGGATCTGTGCCACTATTTACTGCAAGTCCTCTTCTATAGATTCCATGAATGGGCCGTTCTTGAACATGCCATTTTACAGTATGGTGACAAGCATAGGCCAACAATCCTAAATCCTGCATCTCCATCTGGCTGGATGCAAGGCAAAGAACATCTTCAAACAGCTCCAAATGCCATTAAGAACCGTGGACAACAACGTCAGCAGGTACAAGACGACAGGAACTACGGAGGACAAGCCCAAAAGTTGAAGACTGAAGAGTGTAACGTCAAAGGAGATGTGAAAGTCATTCAAGAGAAAATCCGCCGCCTCCCTCGTAGGTCCGACAAAAAAATTGGCTTTTGAGGTGGGTATTTCTGCTCGATCTGTTGGAAAGATTGTCCCCAGCCACCTTCGACTTCGCCCTTATAAGATCAGATGAGCTCACATGCTGACTGAGCGTATGAAGAAAACTAGGCGAGAAAGATGAAAGGAGGTTTTAAAAGGCGGCACAGCAACATCCTTTTCACTGACGAATGTCTGTTTTCAACCGATCAGTTCCTGGACATCCAAAACGATGGGGTGATAGCGGGAAGCCATGCAGAAGCCAGCCAACATGGAGAGATTGCACGCGATCTGTACACCACAAATCGTTGATGGTTTTTGGGGCGATCACATCGGACTTCAAGATGCCAATGATTTTCGTGGAGAAAAGGGTGAAGGTGGATGGCAGAAACTACTTAAAAGGCGTGTTGGAGAAGGAGGAACTCTCCTGAGGAAAATCTCATCTTGACAACCGGACATGGACTTATCAACAGGACTCAGCTCAAGCACACAGGTCAAAAGTGGTACAGGACTGGTGCGCAACGCATTTCCCAGGCTTCATCTCGTCGGACGATCGGCTCCCAAACAGTCCAGGCCCAAATTCATTGGACTATCCCGTGTGGCTAGTTCTTAAGACGAAAGCCTGCTCTACTAAGCATAGAAGTTTGGATGTTCTACGTGCAACCCCCGTTGAAGCATGGGAGGGTTCGAACGAAGACTACCCCCGTGCCGCCGTCGACGCCTTTCCTAGGAGAATTTTAGTCTGTATTCGCGCAAAAGGAGGCTATTTCGAGATCTAGTTTGCTTTTGTGATCTATGTAGCTGTTGATAAAAGCTTCTGGAGTAATATCATGTATCGATCGGTTTGACCGTTTTTACGATCATATTTACCACTGTCAGTACTTTTACCGCATCCTGTATGTATCTGTGCCGCACACTTTTGCATGGGATCAGTTCTGACTTGTTATTATGAAACGCTTAGATCTATCAACCACAGCCTTCCTTGTATGCTATATCACTAATTTATCTATTATTACTAAATAATTAAATGGACGAAATGGTCTACTGACAAGTGGCGCCCTATCAGACACGCATATCCGATAGAGATCCGCGCAAGGCCTTTCATCCCTTCGGAGCCGTCTGGGAAGATAAGAGCACTGACTTGTATATTGGCTGGTCAGTGCAAGTCATTATTAGCAATAGTTGTCGGACTTTTTCTGAACATCGCACATGTGATAAATTTTTTCGTCTAGAACTTTATTAAGTACCTAGCTTCTATCATTTATTCTAGGTTCACTTTTATAATTTACTTTGTGGTCTTAGACCTTCTTCTCAAAATCGTTTTATGCTAATCCTGAAGACTGGAAGATTTACAATTGTAGCCTTGTGAAATGAAAAAAAATGATGAAAATGGGGCAGTGTCTTATGCAAAATACTCCGAAATGTGGGAAACAAAACCGATGGAAGACCATTCCGCAAACGCCTCCAGTATGGGAAAAAAAGCTCTCGCAAACTACCTTCTCGTCTACATAATCAATGTTACATTTGTAAATACTTGCAGTAGAATTTATTGTCGTGCATTCGACGAGTACTTCCTCATTGTAATCTCTAAAATGGTATGGGCAGCAACTCGTCCACTGTAATGTATTTCGGCGAAAAATAGCCTGAACAACCGTTACGAAGATTAACAGATCCAGAGGAAACGTTTTAGCAATAGGAGGATTGAGAAGGGAAGGGCAAGGGAGGTCTAGTTAGTGCAAGGAATAAAGAGCACGATGTCCGGAAAGCACAGATATGGGTCCGATTATCCTTGTGGGAATAAAAGAATTGCCGAAAAAGGAAAGTTGAACTCTTTCACGCTGCATCATCAGTTGAAAGCAATACGCTCTTTAAACGGAATACAATTAAAATGCGAAAGCTGCAAAAAAACAAGGAGCTGTCGGGTAATTTTTTGAAGTCACAATAGGTAAATTAAAGTATTCGAACAACCATCATCCAGAACTCGTCATAAATCGCGTTTTCGTTGTATTCGGTATTATTCTGATGTCAGTTTTAGTATTTGGTGGTGTTTTGTGGGTTTGATCAATTGGCTAAAAAAGTCAAATCTTTAAGATTTCCCCTTTGCGGTTGTCAGACAGAAATGGAAGAAAGCAGAACTGACTAACCTTAAAAGGCATAAACAATTCATGACATAATTCTTAATCAGAATTATAACAAGCTGGATCTCATTATATTCGCCGGAGTTCTGGTGAACCTCATATGTGCTGCGAATTTTTTCGTCTACTATTTTATCACTTTTGTAGTTTTTGGTTACTTCAATCAATTTGGATCAGTAGTCTATTCTGATAAGCCTATTTTTCAAGCACGTCAATGATGGGATCCACGGATTATGAAACCGCAGGATCATGGATTTTGATAGGCGGCAATTACTGAGCCCCTTCTAAAGCTTCTTATCATTTCCAACAAACTTCTTACATATCTTTAAATAAGTCCATCAAATGAAGAAATACCTGATAACCCTCACAAGGTTAGCTAGTTATGAACAAAACTTCGGCTTTGGATGGAACTTTGGGTCTTGTACTTGTGCTAATCTGACCCCGTGCTCTCATCTTTTACTCTACCGAGATCCCGCTTCACTAGCTTTATGCCTCTTATATGCCATGTCTTCTCAGTACTCATATACGTAACGACGTAAAACAACGTAAGTTTGGGAGAGGAGGGCGGGGGTGAATCACATCTGTTTTGTGTAACAAGAGGGGTATGCAAATTTCTCACTGAGCCTTAGGAGGTAAAAAACACTGAGGTCAGCTATATCCTCTGGCTGAATAATAAGAACGCACTGATGACCGCAGCCAACCCTCCTTCTCGTCTCGGATAGAATACAGTGCTAATATATTAAGCATAAGCATGTAGCACATTTCTTGATATACTGATACTGAAATTGTGATGAGTGCCCATCCCCCCACCCCTTTCCAACAACAGTTTTACCCTCTACGCTGATGGACGCTCAGAAGTTTATTTAAAAGCGTTTTATCATCTAAGACTCTCAGAAAGCGAAGAAAAACAAGTACAATTCCATCTCTATGAAACATTGAGCCGACTCTCCAGGGTGTGGTGCAGTAGGAACGAAATTGTCGCGTCGCGGCGAGAGAGACGCCGCGTGCGAAGGAATGTAGCAGAATGCAGCAGCAAGTAAGAAATGGAGGAACAAAAGAACTAATAGTAAAATCATGATAAAAGTAATGATCGCATAGCGATTGAGCTGCATGAAGGACGCCAGCACTGTTATAAATAGGCAAATGGTCGGCGACAGCCGCGTGAGGCGGTTCCTTCTGCCCGTCTTCCGACTCCCCGTAGTCCATATAATACTCAATGGTAATCTGCGTGTGTCAGCATTGCCCCGGAATCACAATACATCCACTACACTCAGGAAAAATAAGATTGCGGTAAATTATTGTTCTGTAGCCTTGAAGATGAATAAGGTGTTCAGGTTAAGGCCTTCCAATATTTCTAGAAGATCATTACACGGAACATAAGCGAAAAAAATCCAAAGGACTCCGCCCATAATATGACTACAATTTCGTTATTTTCCCGTTGGTGGATTCACCGGTACGTTTCTGTCATACCATTTTGGTTAGAGAGTATTTTCCACTGTTGTGAATCTTACTTAGAAGAGCTGACCACTTGTACACAGTATAGACCTCACCCTTAAGCAATCTCACTAGATCACCACACCAGAAAATTGTGACTGATACGGCTAAGGTTTGAAAATCCTCACAAAAAGAGCCTTTCTCCCAAAACCTTATCGAAGCCAAATAGGGGCATTCCCATTGCTTTCGATCTGCTTTCCACTTATCTTGCTATTTGAGATTTTATCGAACACCATGTACTTTACTCTTAAGTTCTGTATTTTTTTAGTACCAAACACGTAAATTCTCGGTGGCAAATGTGCTCTGCACTGTCAAATCAAATCTTTGCTCGTTAAAACTCAATTTTGCTCACAAAAATCGCTTATGTTCGGAAATTTTCAGTAAAATACATCGACATGAACTTGACGAACACCTCATGATCGGCTTCCTCAAGAATGCATTCCACTCTAAACGTATCGCAAACATCCAGGGATGGCTAGAGCTCGTTAGCTTTGGAACACTTCAGCAGGAAATCGCTGTCTACATGCTTATACTGATAACTTTTAAAGGAATATTCTTGTGTTGTTGTTCCATGCTTAGAACAGATGATATGATTAAAGGGAACTATACGGAATTTTAGATTTTTCAAAGCTCTCGGATCAGCTCAGTGAAAAAGAGGATCTTTGATGTGTGTTTTTCTCTGGATAGTTGAAGTTCAAAAGTGAAAATGTAAATCCAAATGTAAATCCCGTTCAATACAGCTGAAAAGAAAAATCAAGATTCATTGCAGGAGTTTCCTGGAATAAGGTTCTCGTATTATTTACTGTGAGCTTTCAAAAGGCACAAGAAAAAATCGGCAAGAGCCTTCTGATTTAGCGAGTCTTAACGAGTTCTTCTTGACTTCATACAAATCTAAGATTGATATACCTGCTGCCAATGGCTCTAAGATTGATATACCTGCTGCAGATGGCATTTCCTGGTATGGGAAATTGTTATAATGGGATTTTAGACGTGGATTTCGAACAAATTCCTATGTATTGATATCATGTAAACGTATTGAATCTGTTATAACCCAAAATTTTTTCTAGCTCATTTCCTCCTTATCGCCATTGCCTAAGCCTAGTGAAGAGGTGAGGTATCTTCTCAGAAGCAAGACAACTAGAAAACGGACTCTTGCGATCTCACCTCCCTGCCAGAGTTCGTTTAAGAATCATGGAATCAAAATAGTTACTTGTTCGCAAAGTTGACGTCACCGCAAGTTCGGCAAAAGTGAAATGTAGAATTGGCAATCTCATGTAGTGCCTCTTGTTAAGATAGAACAGCACGTGAGTTGAACTGTGCAAGCAAGCAATCCCACCTTTCCTTTCGGTTTGTTCTCAGATCCTCCTCTAATAAGCAATCTCCCACGTATCGCCTAGAATCCAGGAAAAACGGTGCACTCAAATCACCGTCTATTCTTTTCATTTTCAGAGGATGTGGAGAGAAATATGTACTTGGGGCAGACCGTAAGACCCTTGAAGATCCGTTTGGACAAACGAATTTCTCTCCACATCCTCTGCAATGAATTGAGTAGAGCTGAGGAGCTTTGGTTATCCCGCTGTCTACCTACACAGTACTTTTTCTAGGCGCCCTTAACTTCAGCACAAGAGGGAATAGCTTCAATTTTTGATCTAATGGTTCCGCGAAGAAGTTAGAACCTACCAGGAAGGGAGTATGTTCGAAGCATGAGACATAACATCTTCCCTTCAGATTACGAACTGTGTCTCTGAAGCAAAGAAGAGAAAATCATGTGCTTGTCTTCAAGGAAATAGAATTGGTTCGTG